AAAAAAATGAATGTAAAACAGCTCATTAATAATTTTATATTGATTACATGTTGAAATGATAATATTTTGGATATAGTAAGTTCACCAAGATGTATTATTCAAATTAGTTTCTCTTGTTTTTTTTTACTTTTTTTAACGTGACTACTTAGAATATGTGAAGTTATGTATGTGGCTCATATTTGATTTCTATTGGACAAGACCAGCCTAGAGAAATTAGATGCTCGTTTACTCGCTAAGCGTCTACCTTGTTTTTCTGGCTCTCTTTACAAACTCAAGATCCCATTGATACAAGGAGTCTGCTTTCTCATTGCTATTTTCGGGTGCAGAGTTCCTCCTATCAGCCTGCTCACCATTCTTCCTGGCCCCCCTCTGCCTGGCATCCCTCTGCCATTACTCCTGGTGTGGACAGTGTGGGTAAAGCATGTTCTGTTAGTTGCAAAGACAGTAGTGTTTCCAAGGGCACCTGTCTCAGAGTTCTAAATGGACTATGACTCACGGCCGTCATTGGAGTATAAACTTGACACAGGTTTAACCTTTTCATAGGGTTTGGTTTTTGTCCCAGAAAAACTATGGGAGTGAAAACCAGCAGCATATCCAGGACAGTAGGTGGGGTAAAGAGAAGCAGGTGTCCTGGACTGGTGTTAGAAGATAAGGATTCAAACCCCTGGTCAGCCACTAACTAGCTATGTCTGATTTGGACAAATCACCGTATTTGAGCCTCAGTTTGTCTCTCTGTCAGATGCCTGTAGGATGAACTCAACAGTGCTTACTTACTTCAGAGGATGGCTGAAATATCGAATGAGATCACGTATCAGAAAATACCTGTGAATCAGCAAGCTCTGTTTGTGGTGGCAAACTTATGGTCAGAGGGGCAGATCCTGGGGGCAGAAGGTTGTGTTTGACCAGAAAAGTGTGTTTTGTTTAGTTGAATTGGAGTGCCTACAAGGGGACGCTCTCCAGTTTGTCAGAGACTTTAGCCCTCTTGTTAACTTAATTCAACTGATTTGTGTTCCCTGCCTGGCCACTGAAGATGGATGTGTTTGTGTACCTTGCAGAATGGGAGGGGCAACACTTAGTAACACAACCATGCCTGATGCTGGCTGGCGTGCTTCCTGTTCTCGGGAGCTCGCGGTGAGCACCTAAGTTACAGCATAACCAATTCTGGGTGAACTGACGTTTACCAGGCCCCTGATCACTGCCCTCAGTGCCAGGCTAAAAACTGAGAGGGACAACTCAACTGTGGGTGCAACGAAAAGGCCAGGAAACTAGCTCTGCCTTGGGGAGGGATATTGAAGAGGAGGTGGCGAATAGGAGGAAGAAAAGTAACATTTTTGAGCCAAGATTGGGCCATGCATCAGATTAGGCCCTGTCACGCACTGTCTCATCTACTCAGAACAGCTCTCAGAGCCGAATACTGTAGTGTTATCTTCATTCTGCAGACAAGGACGTTGGTTCATGGAACCTGCCCAAGGTCACATACAAAGGACAGAAGGAGGATTTGAATCCAAGTCCTTTCGAGGGGGCCCAATGCCACGGTGTATCTACTGTGCTTCCCCTGTGGATTAACGCAAGCATGATTCATAGCGATTGTTTTATTTCTGTTCATCTAGCCTGTCTCCCAACTCCTACCCACCCCTTTCCAAGAGTGTTGTATTTTTTTAACCCAAAATTAATTTATTTATTAAAGTTACATTGAAATACTTTTAAATACAAATAACTAATGCTTTTTCAACAAAAGTACCAGATACCTTTCATGACAAGATAAAGATATGCCTAATTTTGTTCTCTTCTAAAGTCATCATGAAACCAAAAGCTCTCTATCTGGGAAATATACCGATGGAGCTCTCTTCCACTGGTGTGTATATTTTGATTCGTTTCATGTGAGTATCTCCCATTTTGGTGATTGGCTACAATCCAAGGGCGTTTGGACGATGGTACTCAGAGTTCACAGAGCATGGCTAACTCTCCTAAGAGGAGATGGAACCCCAATGTCAGAGGAATGAATGTATCAGGTGCTAAATCCACTTTCCTGTGCTTGTTCACCCCCTGAGGAGACTCTGAAGGAAAGCTCCGTCCCTGGCGTCCTGTTCTATCTTTCCTTCAGCCCGAGGGGATGTTTATGGACTGTCAAGTTTGTTGCCCGGGGATCTGACCAGCTGCCCTGCACTCTGATCCCAGCAGTGACCAGGGCCATTGATTACATAAGCCAGGGAGCTCTGTTGACGGTAGTATCCTTTAGCATCCATTCCCTCGTGATCAACAACCCCGCCTCACCGCCCCTAGGTGAGTTGGCTTGACTCCTTGGTTGCTATCCCAACCAAAAGGCCTTTGCCCTGCGCCTTACCCCAGGCTGCCTTGGGATTGGCTCTTCAGGTGGGCAAAAGTCAGAGACGGAGAGTTTTGACTGAGCGTGACCGGAGTGACGACCTTGGTTTGTGGCTTACCGTGCACCAGGAAACAACAGCCTTCCTCAGCCTGTGTTTGACTTTCCTCTGCTACAACTGGGGGTAAAGGTCACCATGGGCTCATTCAGAGCCCGGGCTGTGGAATCTGACACACCTGGGTTTGAATCCTTACCCTGCCACGTTCTGTGTGGGTCACCTGGTTGACTTAATCATCTAAGCTCCATTTCCTCTTATGTAAAATGTATAATAACAACGAGGCTGTTGTGAGATTTTAATCTAACAGCAAGTACTACTAGTGCATTTTTTTTCTTTTGAGAAAGATTAGCCCTGAGCTAACATCTGCTGCCAATCCTCCTCTTTTTGCTGAGGAAGACTGGCCCTGAGCTAACATCCGTGCCCATCTTCCTCTACTTTATATGTGGGACGCCCACCACAGCATGGCTTGCCAAGCAGTGCCATGTCCACACCCGGGATCCGAACTGACGAACCCTGAGCCGCTGAAGCGGAACGTGCACACTTAACCATCGTGCCACCGACAGGCCCTCTAGCGCTCTTACTAAGTGCTAGGCACCGTCTGAGTGTTTTCTGTACGGTACTAACTCAGTTAACCCTACTCCAGCCCTACGAAGCAGGTACAGTTATCCCCATTTTGCAGATGGGGAAACTGAGACATGGAGAGGCTAAGAAACTTTCCGGGCATTCCATAACTAGCAAATTCAGACCTGGGCTATCAAAGCTGTGTGAGGCCAGAGTCCGTTCCTGTGCACTAGGCTATGCTCAAATATTAAACACGTGCAAATTTGGAACACAGGAGGTGTTCAATAAATTCTGTCTATTAATCCAGTTATTATTATTTTTAATGGTCCTGGTTTTAATAGCTTCCATGAGGCACTTTAGAAGTGGAGTGAGACTTGAGGCATTTTTATGAGATTATGACTTTTTTTTCATAATTTTGAGCTTGAATGAGGGTACTGTGTCTGAATTCAGTTCCTCTGTCTTTTAACTCTAACTTATTGAGCCTTAATATTTTCATCACATCTTGCAGTTTACATTTTCATTGTCCTTAATGATGAACGCTAGCATCTTCTCGTGGGCTCCTTATGAGCTAAAGTGAGTTAATACGTGTCAAGAACTTAGATGCTTGGCGCTGAGTATGTGCTATACAAGGGAAAGAAGTGCGAAAGGTCCTAAAGGTATGAACATAATTTCATCTGATCCCCCGCTTTGATCTTGCCTCGTGGGGCTGCGTCTGTTCCCAGGTCATCTAGGACGCTGTTGCCAACTGCCGGCTCGGGAGCTCCTGGAGGCCGGAGGTCTGGCTTGACTCCTCTGTTGCGGCCCAGGCCCATCACCCTGACTGGTGCACTGACATGAAGCGTGAGCGCGGCAGGAAACGGAATTATATTTTTTTGTGCCAAACTCCAATAAGGAATGAGGCAAAGAGGACCAAGAAGAACATGTCTTCATTTCTTGAACTTGCTAGTCTATCTTGTAGGTCCTTGATTTAAATTATTATTTTGTGACACAAGGAGTTAATAACACCCTTCAGGTGGCCCAACATTTAACCCGACATCACCTCATGTGAATTGTCAGACTTGGGAACTATGTCACATTCCATGGAAAACAGGGCTAAGGGACTGCAGGTACAAGAAGCAGAAGACTGGATTTTTCTTCATATTGTTTCTGTAACTGATTGTTTCTGTACACAGTTTGTTTGCATATATAATTATATATAATGTTTATTGAGATTCAACTATGTGCCAGGCATTGTTTTAAAAGCCTTATGTGTATTAACTTATTTAATCCTCACTATAGCCCCACGGCGTAGACGCTTTTATGATCTCCGTTTTAGAGATAAGGACACTGTGGCAGAGAGAGGTTAGGCAGGCTGCCCATGGACACACAGCTGGTAAGTGGTGGAGGTAGGATTTGAACCCAGGAGTCCGGCTCTGGTATCTTACACGTCACACTTATCGGCTGATTCCTTATTTTGGTCAAGTCCTTCACTTTCTAATATGTAATTAACATAGAAAACACTATGTTAGTTTTATTAAATAAATACAGGAATTTCAGAAGGGGCTACAAACTCCTCTGAGAGAGCTCCCAGCGGAGCTGGGTGGTCAGCAACTGCTTTGTTCCCTGTGAACTTCCTCTTTAATGGCAAAGGGCTGGTGGGCCGGCCCAGTGGTGCAGTGGTTAAGTGCGCACGTTCCACTTCCGGGCCTGGGGTTCGCTGGTTTGGATCCCGGGTGCAGACATGGCACAGCTTGGCAAAGGCCATGCTGTGGCAGGCATCCAACATATAAAGCAGAGGAAGATGGGCACGGATGTTAGCTCTGGGCCAGTCTTCCTCAGCAAAAAGAGGAGGATTGGCAGCAGTTAGCTCAGGGCTAATCTTCCTCAAAAAAAAAAAAAAAAGGCAAAGGGCTGGGAGGAGTGTGACTTCCCGGGAGAGAGTGACAAAGTCTGCTACTTGAGCTAAGTGGCCTTTACCACAGAGGTAGCACACGTGCCAGTGGTCCGTCAGAGAGATCTCCCTTCATCTACTGCTCCCATATCTGCCCCAAGGACCCAGCCTGGGAAGTGACTCACCTGGGAGCCTGGTGTTTCCCTTCTCCCCTTGTCTTAGTCAGGGCTGCTGTAACGAATCACCATGGACTGGGTGCCTTACACAACTAACATTTCTCTCCCACAGTTCTGGAGGCTGGGAGGTTCCAGATGAGGTGCCTGCAGCTTCAGTTCTTGGTGAGGGGTCCCTCCTGGCTTGCAGATGGCTGCCTTCTCACGTGTGCTCTTGTGACCTCTTCTTTGCGTGCTGAGGAGAGAGCGCCTGTTCTCCTAAGGCACTAATCCCATCGTGGTGGCACACGCGCGTGACCTCGGCTAAACCTAAGTACCTTCCAGAGGCCCCTTCTTCAAACCGCACCACATTGGGACTTAGGGCTTCAATATATGAGTTTTGGGGGGGACACATTCAGTCCACAGCACCCCTCGTCTTCCCTGCAGACCGTGGGCCCCAGAGCTGTTGACTCCAGTGCAAAGTGAGGCACTGGGTAGGTGCTCAGTAAACACTTGTTGAGCGGGAAGCAGTTGAATGAGCCCTGGTTTTGTGAAGTCTCTGAGGACTTGGGCTTTCCTTTCTGTCCAGAAGGAGGACTGCGGAACGTACTGAAACCCCGGGGTGCCCAGGAGGAGGAGGAGCTATGCGGGTCTGGATCAGCTTTGTGGTGTCTGGTGAAACAACTTCTCTTAAGGATAAATAGAGGAAAGAGATGGATGTCAGAGAGAGGAAGCCCCAGGTTTGCGTCTTGGTGCTGCCATGGAGAGGCTGTGCGACCTGGGCAGGTCCGGTGATTCCCTCCCCGCCCTTCTGTGAGGGGGTGACACTGATCTCATGGGGGTGCTGGGAGGAGGCAGGGAGCAGCATACATACATCACTAGCATACCTCGAGGTGCCGGAAAAGGTTTCCCTTTCTTAAATTAACGCTTTATCTGTGCCAAAGGAAGCTTTCACTGGGATGTGGGCGATGAAGAGAGCAGATATAGGAGGGCTGAGTGCACGTGAATCCCAAACGCAGAGAGTCTCAGGTTGGTGGATGACCTAAAAAGGATAAGGCACGGGAACCTGACAGTGTTTACCTGGGAGGCCACCCAAGAAGTCTGGGGTTACCTATTAGCCTAATCACGAGCTCTCGGGTGACTTTGTGGGGAGGGGAGGAGAGAAATGAGAGAAACACTGCAGGTGTTTCTTACATGTGGCCCTGAAAACCTCTGTCCCTCAGGAACTTTGAAAGGACTGCGAGCAGTAGGTGAAGGAAATGAGCTAACAGAAAAAGGCAGACGGCACTCTGTTCAAGGAAGAGGAGGGTAAAACCAGGCAACACCTGGAAGCAAGTGAAATTTGATTCACTAAAACTGGAACAAAACTTACCCACCTGCAACGCAAACTGGTGCAGCCACCAAGGAAAACAGTATGGAGATTTCTCAAAAAATTAAAAAATAGTGGGATCCAGCTATTCCACTACTGGGTATTTATCCAAAGAACTTGAAATCAACAATTCAAAGAGATTTATGCACCCCTATGTTCGTTGCAGCATTAGTCACAATAGCCAAGACATGGAAGCAACCCAAGCACCCGCTGACTGATGGATGGATAAAGAAGATGTGCTGTATATATACGATGGAATACTACTCAGACATAAAAAAAGATGAAATTGCCCCATTTGCAACAACATGGATGGACCTTGAGGGTATGATGTTAAGCGAAATAAGCCAGACAGAGAAAGACAAATATTTCATGATTTCACTCATATGTGGAAGATAAACACATGGACAAAGAGAATAGATTTGTTGTTACCAGAGGGGAAAAGAGTTGGGAGGTGGGTGAAAGGGATGAAGGGGCACATAGATATGGTGACGGATAAAAATTAGACTACTGGGAGTGAGCACAATGAAGTGTATTCAGAAATTGATAAATAATAATGTACACCCCAAATTACACAATGTTATAAACTATTATGATCTCAGTAAAATTACTTAAAAAAAAAAAAAACTTACCTACCTGGTTAACTTTGTGTGAGACAAGCAAGTTTCCAGGCCCTCTGTGCCCCTGGCCTCCATCCGTCACTTACCTGGGTGGTCCAGCTGCCTTCCTTGACCAGCAGCTTTGTCAGTGGGTTATTTACCTATTCCTTGCACTCACCTCCATTCTCATCACAAAGCCCAGCTCTTGAGCCGGGTTACAGGAACCGCAGGGCAATGGGAGTTTAGAAAAGGCTATTGATTCCCCTTTTCCAAGAATAATGTCTATGAACGTGGGGTCCAGAATCAGACTAATTTGTGTTTGTGTCCAGGCTCCACTGCTTATTGGTTGTGTGACCTTGGATAGATTTCTTAACCTCCTTGAGCCTCAGTTTCCTTATCTGTAAAATGGGTATTATAATAATAGTACCTACTTCACATGGTTCAGTGAATTAAATTACACAATACAGGTGAAACTCTTACAAAGGCGCCTGGACAATAAGCAGAGAATAGGTATTATCATTCTTAGCAGTGGTGTTTTTACAGACTGGGAAAAACCAGTCATCTTTCATTTTGTTTCCTCTCTGATCCTGATGGTTGTGGGTTACTGGAGAGAAGAAGATCAACAGATGGCTCTGCCGCTAATAAACTGTGCAACCTTGAGCAAGCCCATAACCACTCTGAGCCAGACTTGCCTCTTCTCTGGAATAAGGACAATGACTGTGCCCCTCCTCACTACACTACAGGTGTCTGGGAGGCGCACAAGGGACAATGCCATCAAAGTGCTCAGCAAGGCAACACAGGGAGGCGAGATGTAAGACGAGTTCATCCATGAGTGCATTGTGGTCCCACAGTGGTTCTCCAAGTGTGGTCCACAGCAGCCCTTGTTAGAAATGCAAATTCTCAGGCCCCAGCCCAGACCTTGTAAACCAGAAACTCTGAGGGTGGGGCAGGCCATCTGCGTTTAGCCTACGTTCCAGGCGATTCTGCTGCACCCTCATGTTTGGGAACTGCTACCTTGTGGTCATCCAGAGAAGGGAAGAGCTGAGAGGCACACAAGAAACTAACTTTTTACTAATTCTTAACTTTGGAAGATATTTAGAAATGGTGAAATGATCTCCACCCCCCTACCCCCACCTTCTTATGCAGAGGATATGTAAATATATATATATTTTAGCCAGCGTTATGGGCTGAATTGTACCCCCCCCCCCCCAATCCTAGTACCCAGGATATGACTGTATTTAAAGAGGTAATTCAGGTAGAATGAGGTCATATGGGTGGGCCCTAATCCAATATGGCTGATGTCCTTGTAAGAAGCAGAAATTTTGGATACAGACGGGTACAGATGGAAGACCGTGCGAAGACACAGGGGAAGGTGGCCATCGACAATCAAAGAGAGAGGTGTCAGGAGAAACCAGCCCTGCCCACACCTTGAGCTTGGACGTCTAGTGCCCAGAATTGGAGATAATCAATTTCTCTTGTTTCAGCCATCCAGCCTGTGGTATTTCTTATGGCAGCCATAGCAGACTAACAAAGCCAGCGTGGAGCCCTAAGCAAAGAAGAGAGGGAACTTGGCAGAGTTCGGACTGGAAGCTGCAGGCAAGGAGCTGAGTGGGGTCTGAGGGCTTCCGACTCTTGGGGACTGCCAGGGGAAAGCCAGTTTTAGATGCCTCTCCTGATGAAAACAGAAAAGAGGTGGGGTGATTGCTCAATGGAAAATGAATTCTTCACTTTATGAGTGACTCACTTGTCACAGGAGATAGATTAGAAATGATGATAAAAACGCTACAGAATCAGAATGAAATTCAGTGGAAAAGTATTATTTGTTCTATAAACAACTCGTTCACATATAACTTTTTAGGAATGTGTTTGCCCCAGGAAGGCAGACACCAGGGATCCTGAGCAAGGGATGAGATGAGCCTCTAGAAGAAACTGGTTCAAAGGGCCAGAAGAGCCTGGCCATTTTCATTCAGCCCATAGGCCGGGGACAAGAATCTTCACTTACACCGAAGGGAAGAAATGCAGGACCTTGATGATGCCTCGACCATTTGCTGAGTGGGTTTGCTCTCCCTATCTTTGTGTTTCACCTGCATTTTTTTTTTTTAATTTTCCCTGGATGTTTAGACTCAGAAGTGTGGCCAGGTTCTAGCATGGCTTCAGTACCCCGGGGGCTGAGTGGGTGAGGCCAAGGGGTTTTAGAGAACATCTAAAATAGGTTCTGCCATCTAGCCACCTTCTCTAGGGTGTGAACACTGATGTCACATCAGACAGACAGATGTACGTATGGAATTTGCTTTCGCAGGGCTTTCTCTGAGGACATCATCCCAGGGTTGACGTTGGACAGGTCAACATTTTATCTGTCCACTTTTGGAAACTGCTTATGAGAGCAAGCCTTACTCCTTTCTCTCCTCCCCCTTCCCTCCCAAGTGTGTACTATATATTTTTTAACGTGTTATTTTAAATGATGATACCATATCTGGGCAGAAGGCTGACCTTCCTGCTTTTAAGTGAAGAGTCACATGGTGGTTTAACATTCAATAGGAGATGCAGAAGTTCTTTCAGGTCCTAATGGTTTCTTTCTTTCTTCCATTGGAGAGTCTTTCCTGGGGAGCCTTCAGCATGAAGACCGCATGATGGAAACGGTGGTTTGACCTTTGAGCTCTGCTGAAAGGACATAGCCAGTGATAGACCATTAGTCTGTCATAAACGTTTCCTCATAACACTTTTGCTTCTCTGTCCATTCTGTCTCTTGGCATCCATGAAAAAATTAATATGCAGGAGCAGTGTGGAGTCAATCTAGTAGGCTCTCTTGCATGAAATGCATTTCACTTTGTGTCATTGGTGTTTGGGAAGGCATTGAAGTGCTGGGGAGGGGCAGAGAGAAGAGTGGGTAACTGGTATGAGATCTGCTCCTGGGTTGCTTTTAGTCTGGGCCAGAGAAGCTGGAATCAGTCTTGTGCAGAATTTAAGATGCTGTATTGTCTTGGCATTGACATAAAGTCTTACTTCCGGTAAAAAGTTCTGTGGCCCATGATTTTTTTTCTTTCTTTTCAATAGCCCACTCTTTCTTTGGGAAGTAGGCTTGACTGTCTGCTGGGTCTACTTAGACATTTCCCTGGTGAGAGTGAACAAGGACATGGTTCACACTTGCAGTAGGCACAGGGGTGTGTTGCCCAGATCCCCCGCTTCAGGACTGCGGCTGGGAGTGTGATGGGCTGACAGCTCACAGCTGCATCCTCCTGCTCCTCATAACCCTGGTGAAGAGACACTATCTTGTTTAAGGTCACGCTCCTTTCCTAGGAGCAGCCAGAATCCAATGACCGGCTGATGTGGCGGTAGAAAGGTCCAGCCCTTTTGCTTTATTTTGGGACATCTCTGCAGGGCCATCCCAGCTCCAGAGTTCCCCATGAGATCAGCTGAGGCCTTTGCTGTGACTGCATGGCAGCTCAACTTCTCCCTTTGCCTGAGTCTGCAGTTCTCGCTTCTGCACAGGTGCTGGTGCCAAGGTCATTGCCCACTAAACCTCCTGCATGCAATTCTCCATCTCTGAGTCTATTTCCAAGGGCACCCGACCTGCAACAATGCTTTCCTTTAAATAGGAATGATTGTTGTTTTATTTCTCATGAGGATTATTTTCAGGGGTAAATTCACATTTTCATTCCAGGAATTGATACATATTGTTTTTCAGAGACTTTATTTATATGGAAATTTTTCTGTGTGAGCAAAGGCTACTTAAGAATTGAAAGTGTTTTGGACTCCATGGGGACAAAATAGCTGTGAGAAAGCTGGATTGGTTACCCTGAACTTTTGGTCCTGGTGTTTACATGGACTGCCGACCACACAGCATGGCCATATGACTGGGGGGAGAGTCTGAGGCCAGGGATCCTGTTGAAAAAGGCCAAGGGTTCAATCTCCTTGTTGTTTGTCTGTTTTCTGTTGTTTCCTGGTCTCAACCCATACCCTAATGTGGCCAGTCAGAGGCGAAAGTGTTCCCTTGACCTGCCCTTGGAGCAGGTGAGAGATTGTGAATAACCACTGAAAATCTGTCATCAAGGCTGGAAAAACAATTCCTGGCACCTGTCCCGCCATGTATGGAGAGCAGATCAACCCAGGAGAAGCCAGTTTGGAATTTTGCCCAAAAAGGGAAGAGTATGTTTCTATAATTTTTTTCAAATTTAAAATAAACACAATTTTCTTATATTAAGTATCTTGTTCTACCCATAAGGAAGACCAATGTGTGAGGTACACGGAAAATAGCATTAAAAATATCTTTGGCTTAAATATTTTGTTAGGTTGGCTGAAGATTGCAAATTTACCAGAAACTTTGCTGTTTTTGAAGATGAGCGGGCTAGAGGAACAGTCAGAATTAGTGGAGATTCAACGTAAGTATTGAAAAGTAAGGAGAATCTGTATCTATTTCATTATAATGTGTATGCAAGTATGTGTGTGTAAATATGCTTTATGTCTATCTTTATCTGTCTTCTACCTAGCTATCTATTTAATGTATGCATGCCGACAAAGTTTGGAAGAAATGTTTTGCTAAAAGAAAAATAATTACAGTAGAGTGGTGGAATTCAAGTAATTAGAAAAATTTTATTAGTATTTTATTAGTGTTTGAATAAATTAATGTTTAAAAATAAGTATCACAGAAAGAATGAAACAGACTTTAATGAAATAAAAATGGAAGATGATACGACAGGCAGATGTTGACTTTTGAAATAAGAATGTATTCTGGAGAAGCACTTCGCTGGAATATACATTGATGATGAATCCTATAATCACGCCCAGCCTTCTAAGTTGGGCTTTAGCCTGGATCCAGGTGCTTTGGGCACATCTGATGAGCAGGTCGGCCTGGTAACCTCCGGGCATCTATTAGCATCAGTTGATTTCCTTGGGTTGAAGGGGTCTGCTCAGAGGAGGAAGAAGGGAAAAGAAGGATGGCCTGGTGCCAGCCTCGGATAACTACTCCTGGCCAGGCCCTGGGGACTCCTGGAACAGGAGGGGCTGTTTTCAGAGAGGGTAGCAAACGTGTATGTGTGTACGTGTGTGGGGTGTTTTGGGGGCCAGCAGAGTTGGAGGGGAAGAGCACCGTGGGTGCCATGAAGGGGTTGTGGCAGGTGGACTGAATTGTGAACAGGTGTGAGGTTCCCTGTTCCTGATACCCTCCCAACCCCAGGAGAGTGGTTTGTCAATTGATCTTTTAAAGGAAACAGCTTTTTGTTCCATTGGTTTTTTTTCTATTTTCTGTTGTTGATTTTTTGATTTCTGCTCTTATCTTTATTATTTCCTTCCTTCTGCTTTCTTTGGGTTTATTTTGCTTTTATTTTTAAATTTCTTGAGGTGGGAACTTAGGTTATAGATTTGAGACTTTTCCTCTTTTCTAATGTTAGCATTAGTGCTATGAATTTTCCTTTCAACACTGTTAGCTATGTCTCGCAAATTTGGATATGTTGTGTTTTATTTTCATTCAGTTCAATGGATTTAAAAAAAATTTCCCTTGAGACCCATGGAGTGTTTGGAAATGTGTTGTTTAGTTTCCATGTCTTTGGAGATTTTCCTGCTATCTTTCTGTTGGTTTCTAGTTTGATTGCATTGTGGTTATAGAACATACTCTGTATAATTTCAATTCTTTTAAACTTGTTAGTGTTGGCTTTAGCTCCCAGGACATGGTCTATTTTGGTATATGGTCCATGGGAGCTTGAAAATAACATGTATTCTGCTATTGTTGGGTGGAGTATTCTATAAATGTCAGTTGGATTCTGTTTGTTAATAACGCTATTGAGTTTTCTCATATCCTTGATAATCTTGTGTCTAGTTGTTCCATCGGTTGTTGAGAGAGAGAGTTTGAAGTTTACAGCTATAATTGTGGATTTGTCTATTTCTTCTATCAGTTCTATCAGTTTTTGCCTCACATATTTTGTAGCTCTGTTGTTTGCTGCATATACATTTAGAATAGCTGTGTCTTCTTGGTGGATTGACCCTTTTATCATCATGCAATGTCTTTGTCTCTGATAATTCTCTTTGTTCTGGAGTCTACTTTATATGATGTTAATATAGCCACCTCTGCTTTCTTTTGATTATTGTTTACATGATATACCTTTTTCCATTCTTTTACTTTCAACCTACCTACATCATGGTATTTGAAATGAGTTTATTATAGTGGCGTGTAATTAGGTCACGTTTTTAAACTCACTCTGCCTATCTCTGTCTTTTAATTGATGTATCAGACCATTTACATTTATGTAATTATTAACATGGTAGAGCTTTTGTCTGCCATTTTATTTTTTGTTTTCTACTTTTTTCCCTCTGTTTTGTTGTTTCTCTCTTTTCTTTTTCTGACCTTCCTATGGGTTATTGAACATCTTTTTAGAATTTTGCTTTGATTTATTGATAGTGTTTTTGAGTGTATCTCTTTCTGTAGTTTTTTAGTGGTTGCTCTAGGTATTACGTTATGTATTATATATATATCTTATCATCACAATCTATTGGTATTGGCATTTTACTAGTTCAAGTGAAGTATAGAAATCCTACCTCCCCTTCTGTCGTTTCACCCTAACTATTTATAAGTGCCTTAAGTAATCCATCTATATATCTGTAGAACCACATCAGACAGTATTATCATTTTTGCTTCAATTGTAAAATAATTTAGAAAAATCAAGAGAAGGAAAGTGCATTGTATTTATTCATATTTTTACTCCTTCTATTGTTATTTCTTCTTTCCTGATGTTCCAAGATTACTTCTTTTATCATTTCCTTCCTGTTTAGAGAACTTCCTTTAGCCATTCTTTTAGGGTTATGTCTGATAGTGACAAATTCTCTTAGTTTTCCTTCATCTGAGAATGGCTAAATTTTCCTTTCATTCTTGAAGGATATTTACACTGGATATAGAATTCTGGGTTGATAGTTCTTTCCCTTCAGTATTTGAAAATTGTTCTGACCTCCATGATTTCTGATGAGAACTCTGCTGTCATTAGAAGTGTTTTTTCCTCTATAGGTAAGGTGTTATTTCTTTCTCTCTGATTTCAAGATTTTTCTTTGTCTGAAACTAAAGTTTTCAGAAGTTTGACTATGACATATCTTTGGCATGGATTTCACTGAGCTTCTTGAATCTGTAGGTTTATGTCTATTCCAAATTTGAGAAATTCGGCAATTATTTCTTCAAATGCAGGCAAACCTCATTTGATTGCACTTCGCTTTCTTGTGCATCACAGATATTGCATTTTTTTACAAACTGGAGGTTTGTGGCAATCCTGCGTCAAGCAAGTCTATTGGTGCTGTTTTCCCAATAGCATTTGTTCACTTTGTGTCTCTGTGCCACATTTTGGCAATTCTCACAATATTTCAAACTTTTTCATTATTATTATATTTGTTATGGTGACCTGTGATAAGTGATCTTTGATGTTACAACTGTAATTATTTGGGGGCACCCAAAACTGAACCTATATAAGACGGCAAACTTAATCAATAAATGTTGTGTGTGTGCTGACTGCTCCACTGACCAGCTGTTACCCCATCTCTGTCTCTCTCCTTGGGCCTCCCTATTTCCTTAGACACAGCAATATTGAAATTAGGCCAATTAATAACTCTACAATGGCCTCTAAGTGTTCAAATGAAAGGAAGAGTCTCACATCTCTCACTTTAAATCAAAAGCTAGAAATAATTAAGCTTAGTGAGGAAGGCATGTCGAAAGCTGAGATAAGCCAAAAACTAGGCCTCTTTCACCAAACAGTTAGCCAAGTTGTGAACGCAAATGAAGAGTCCTTGAAGGAAATTAAAAGTGCAACTCCAGGGAACACACGAATGATAAGTAAGTGAAACAGCCTCATTGCTGATATGGAGAACGTTTTAGTGGTCTGGATAGAAGATCAAACCAGCCACAACATTCCCTTAAGTCAAAGCCTAATCCAGAGCAAGGCTCGAAATCTTCAACTCTGTAAAGGCTGAGAGAGGTGAGGAAACTGCAGAAGAAAAGTTGGAAGCTATCAGAGCTTGGTTCATGAGATTTAAGGAAAGAAGCCATCTCCATAACATAAAAGTGCAAGGGGAGGGGGCTGGCCCAGTGGCCGAGTGGTTAAGTTCACGCGCTCCGCTGCAGGCAGCCCAGTGTTTCGTTGGTTCGAATCCTGGGCGCGGATGTGGCACTGCTCATCAGACCATGCTGAGGCAGTGTCCCACATGCCACAACTAGAAGAACCCACAATGAAGAATATACAACTATGTACCGAGGGGCTTTGGGGAGAAAAAGGAAATAATAAAATCTTAAAAAAAAAAAAAAAGTGCAAGGGGAAGCAGCAAGTGCTGGTGTGGAAGCTGCAGCAAGTTGTCCAGAAGACCTAGTTAAGATAATTAATGAAGGTGGCTACACTGAACAACGGATTTTGAATTTAGATGAAACAGCCTTATATGGGAAGAAGTGGCCATCTAGGACTTTCATAGCTAGAGAGGAGAAGTCATTGCTCGGCTTCAACACTTCAAAAGATAGGCTGACTCTCTTGTTAGTGGCTGATGCAGCTGGTGACTAAGATGAAGCCCATGCTCACTTACCATTCCAAAAATCCTTGGGCCCTTAAGAATTATACTGTATCTACTCTGTCTCTGCCCTATAAATGGGACGATAAAGCCTAGATAACACCACGTTTGTTTACCACATTGTTTACTGAATCTTTTAAGCCTACTGTTGAGAGCTACTGCTTAGAAAGAAAGATATCTTTCAAAATATCACTGCTCATTGACAATGCACCTGGTCACCCAAGAGCTCTGATGGAGGAGTCCAACGAGATGAATGTTTTCATGCCTGCTAACGCAAATCTATTCTGTAGCCCATGGATCAAGGAGTCGTTTTGACTTTCACGTCTTATTATTTAAGAAATACATTTTTGTAAGGCTATAGAGCCCATAGATAGTGATTCCTCTGATGGATCTGGCCAAAGTAAATTGAAAACCTTCTGGAAAGGATTCATCATTCTAGATGCCATTAAGAATATTCATGATTCATCGGGAGAGGTCAGATTATCAACATTAACAGGAGTTTGGGAGAACCTGATTCCAGTCCTCATGGATGACTTTGAGGGGTTTAAGACCTCATTGGAGGAAGTAACTTCACATGTGGTGGAAATAGCAAAAGAGCTAGAATTAGAAGTGGAGCCTGAAGATATGACTGAATTGCTGCAATCTCATGATAAAACTTGAACAGATGGGAAGATGCTCTTTATAGATCAACAAAGAAAGTGCTTGTTTTTTTTTTTTTTTAAAGTATGCTTTTTGGTGAGAAAGATTGGCCCTGAGCTAACATCTGTTGCCAATCTTCCTCTTTTTTTCCTTTTTTTTCTCCCCAAAGCCCCAGTACCTACTTGTATATCCTAGTCATAGGTCCTTCTAGTTC